AAGAAGAAGAAGAAGAAGAAGAAGAAGAAGAAGAAGAAGAAGAAGAAGAAGAACACAGTGTTTTAAGCCAGAGAAGAAGAACCCCTAGACAATTAGAAATGCTGCGCACGCCAATAGATAAGTGGATAGTCTTACTTTGGATAAAAGCGTTGAATTTGCAGAAAAACGCTCCTAGGATATAGCCGTCCGTGATGTTTGTCGTCACATAGGCCCACATGGGGAAACAGGCGACAAGCAGGTCCGCTATGGCCAGATTAACGATGTAATAGTTCGTCGTTGTCTTCATCTTTTTGGAAATGGTTACTATGATGATGACGAGAGTGTTGCCGATGATGGCCAACAGGAGAAGAACGGAGACGACGCCACATTTGAGAACGATTTCCCACAAGGGGAGGTGCTCAAGCGCGCGAGGGTAATTATAGCCGCTTACGTCAACTTCTGTGACCTGACATCCGGTGGATCCCGACATAGTGGACTCCTCTGACCCCGCAGGAGAGACTGTGGTTTCACCTGGCGAGAAGATACCGCCAGAGACTGGTGAGGTGTATGATGAGGTGGGTGGGAGGGAAGGGATCAGATGTATTCCGTCATCTGCTGGGAGTACTGGCACTAGGAACTGTGACAGGTTGTACACGTACCACCCTGGGTAGTCTGTTTGATCGCGAAGTATTTCGAGAAGCGGATCTTGAGTGTCGGAGTTGAATGTATTCAGAGGCGAGAGATACATCTGTGGAGAGAAAAATTTAATATTTAATTTTCATGTCTTGACCCAAATAGGTCTGCAGTTGCTATGGTACAGTAGGTTTCTAGTAAGATTTATTACACGAAAGGACAAGGTTCAAATCATGTCGAGGTCAGCCTCAGCCACGAATCTTTTTGGGGGTTTAAGTGATCCACACTTGAAATTTCCTACCTTGGCTTTGATGCAAAACTACAGAAACAGCAGAAACAAAAATAAAAGGACAATGTTTAGAGTAAGGGTCCTTTCGATAGAGTAAATGAAGAAGGAAAGAAAACAATTTTGTGCGCCGGAGTAAACATACAAAGTGTATATCTAACTCACTGGAAAAATAAACGGCAAATGAGGCTAGGGTAGACTCGGAGAACCCTGCCTGGAAAACTTTAACAGAGGGGTGACAAGGAAAAGCAGGATTATATTTCTGTCACGACGCGGTGTAATCCACGTCAATTTTGCGGGATATGGAATCATTGGTATAATCTTAAATCAAGTTTGATTGCCATGCTTTTAGTGAAAAATGCCCATCTACCTTGAATAGAAGTCGAGATATTGACCATTGAAAGAGAGAGAGAGAGGGGTTGCCTTGGGTCACAGGTAACATTAACGAGTAAATGGTCGTCAAAGATTAATGACTTCCAAAGCTGTAGTGTCCCTGGAAATTTACAATTTTTTTGGGTTCTTTTTAAAAACATTTTTTAGTCAAATTCACATAGAAATGTAATGTTTAAAGGGCCTAAAAGATGTTGGGCCAAAGACAAAAATTAAACAAAAATTGCCAAATGGGCAGAAAAATACCAGTTTTCATTATTTGTACGAGCGCCTGATTTTACCACGATGCCATACAACCATTTGGGTTCTTTTTAGAGCATCCGAGTGGAAAAAACAAACGCAAACCGTGATCACCGATTCCTGTTTCAGATCTGGTACTTAACGTAAAGGTGATGATGACGACAAGTTTTAAGCACAGACGGTTACACAGAAAAGTGCTGAGACATCTATTGTGTGTAAAAGGTCAATATGTCCCCGCCTCCCCTTCCACCACACCCCCACAGCCACACATACACGTTACACATTGTATCACCTTTCCCAATAGATGAGAGTCAGATGGTCTGATCGGGAGGTGTTTCTAAGTTTAATCCTTTTTTAGTATTCTAAAATAATGGCATAGTTTTCTTCCTCAAAACGTTTTTTGGCAGCAAGATGTAAATAGGAAGGTAGAGAAAAAGTGCACCCACTTTAAATTGCTTGTTCTCATTTTTTCTGTTGCTTCATGAAATGTTATCTTTCTGATCACACTTTGTGGGAGTTTTGATGTCCTAAAAAAAAACGAGCTACAACTTTCCCATTAAAAAACAATAACACTATTTCAGGAAGAGGGACTGTCCAACGTTACATACAGTTATCATTCATCCTGTCAGTGTTGTTGTTTTTTTGTTGTTTTTTTTTCGTTTTTGTATTTTGCTAGATATAATATAATATCATAAATCCAGCACATCATCTCACTGTTCAAGCATTAGCAAGACCTCAAGAAAAGATAGTATAAGACTCAGAGTAATCGAGTTAATCATTACAGGAACACCATCCAATCACCTTTCATTTACATGTATCTCTTTGTTTCAGACAGCGAGTACGTGCCGGGCGAAAGGAAGAAATTTACTAGCCGATTTTTCTGACGCTGAGATGTGCTTAACGGTTATTGTTACATATTCAATCTAGTGCCGATGAACAACTTAGGGTTTTAAAAAAAACCCCACTTTCTCTGTTTGTCCTCGTGTACATTGGTAAACAGAATAGCGTAAGTCCAAACAAACGACTATCACTTCAACCTGAAAAACGTGCCGCATTGTCTGAAAAGTACAAAAAATAAAACTTTGTTGCTTCGAAAAGCACTGTAATTAGAGGATATACAATACAAAGGTAACATTTTCTGGAAGCAATAAAAATCAGGAGAATTTTTGTAGAATAAATATTTTGCATATTATGTAGGAACCAATTTTGTTTGGTATAAACTGATGAATGGCTCTCCGGGGAACAAAATGAAATATAGGTATTTGAAGGGGAAAACCTTCGCAGTATGTTCCCTCAACCCAATAAGAAATGCATTAAAAGGCACACATACGCTTACCGCAAAGCTGGTCTAAAAGCACCTAAAGTTTATTTTATCAATCCTTTTGATTTTTCTTCCAACATTAAGCGTGATTTACAGCCTTGGTAATTGTCAGTTTTTTAAATATTTTTGTTTGTTTTGTTTTTGTTTTGTTTCGTTATTTTTGGTCAGAACATGTGGTATAATATTACAGGCGTATGTTTATTTGAAAGGCTTGTTATGGCTAACTCTAAAAGGGGCAGCATGCATGAAATGTGTCATTGTGTAAGTTGTCGACATCTTGCTTGCTGTGAAGCACAAAAGCCCACCAGAGAGTGGGTGCTTTTATTAATATCATTAGTAGTAGTAGTAGTAGTAGTAGTAGTAGTAGTAGTAGTAGTAGTAGTAGTACTACTACTACTACTACTACTACTATTGTTGTTGTTGTTATTATTGTTGTTGTTGTTATTATTGTTATTATTGTTATTATTATCATTATTACGTATGGGAATATTACTCAACCTATGATAGTAGTAAAGAAACAGGCAATGACAAAGATTTGGCTGTTAAACTGTAGAAGAAAGGCTTTCATTTATTCAATAGCTTTTCTCTTAGTTCAAGAGCGAGAAATGTAAACGTCCAAAGTACAGGACTATTAACAATTTTTTTAAAGTTTTAAAACCCTGAAAAATCGTGGGTTTAAGTTATTGTATGTGTTTTTTGTGTTTTATTTTGTTTTTGTTTTTTGTTAATTATTTAGAATGTTGTTTTGATATTTTAATTATAGTAGCCCCCCCCCCCCCCCCCCCCCCCCCCCAAAAAAAAAGCAACAAAAACGCGACGAAACAATGTATCAGTTTGTGTCTCACAAGTCAAAATATTATAAGTACTGTTAACCAAATTAAAAACTATTACTCAGCTGGAATGTTTTTGTATTATTTCTTAAAATGTGAGACTAAAATGAGATTCCCGGCAAACAGCCACAGCTTTTTCACATTTGACATAATGTTTTACCAATTCGAGCCTTTTGTTGAAAATTTCATTTAAATTAGGTTCCTAATTAAGTCTTTTTTTGGGGTCTGTTTTAACTATCCACCTACGAAAACCTAACGATCCCTAATACATTATTGTTACTGTTGATAAATATTGCCCTAAAATATTGATTAAAAAATAAATAAATACCAAAGTGACCTTACTACAGTGCTTCAGAAAATTAATTAGTTTATCCAACTGTTGTCGAAATCTACAACTTTTGTTTTGAGACGTTTTCACAAGGAAATATTACCGGAAGAATGAGAAGCTAGCAACCCTAAAGACAAAAACTGTAAAATGCATTTAAAGAGTTTAAGAAACATGTCAATATTGTGAGTAGATAGGTACAGTTGTATAATGCATATTGTTTATTTCTTATGAGGATAAATATTCGGCGGTCTTTTTTCTGAAGCCGTACTAGACATTGTTATGGTCATTTCCAAGGCAGATCTTGGAAGGACCCCAGCCTCAGAGGAAGCACAGTACCCAACACAAAATACAACAAAACAACAAAAAAGAAGAAACAAAATTCAGATCCGAGCCGGCTTCGAACTCTGAACTCTCTTGAAAGAAAACAGGATTTGGTGTTCTGTGAAATAAAAACTATATTTTTTTAGTTATGTTGACAGAAAAACCCGAAATGTTCTTAAATGGACATGGTGCTCTTTGCGTGTGCCCGAGCCACCCCTAGCGTACTGCTCACCAACACTAAGATTCGAATTAACTCTTGTGACAAAGCTTCTTTTTAAGAAATGATATTTCAGCTTCGGGGAAGTGACAGAAATTGCGAACTGTACAGAAAAGATCAAATAACTGCAGCACTCATTTACCTAAATATTCCTCGTTCTGAAGTTCATCATTATACAAAGTTGCTGAAAAAATGACTCCTTTTCACTTTGTAAAATCCAAAGTATGCTTGAAAATGGAGTCCTACAACGTCTCAGTTTACCTCGCCTCCATGAAGAATTGTGAACTGTCCTTAGGAGACCTCCCTACCAATAATTTCCTCGACTGCAAGGTTATATTATCCGGCTTTTTGAGAGGCCTAGAAAACGTGAAGGTTCATGACTGGTCATACGGTCTTGTTGTAACGAACTTCAGAAGTCACCGAAGGCCTTGTCTGTTTCCCAAGACAGACGTCATTGGGATCTTTGAAGTCATGCCAGGATCTGAAGCTATCAGGAACGAGAGGATTTTTGTTGTCATTTTGTGGCGTTTCGAGTGGAACGTCCAGCCTGGCACGGCCCTGTGCAGTGGTAATTTCACACCAATTGCTTGGGGATAAAGCTCTGTTGCTCAGACATCGACTGCGTCAATAGCCAGCAACCGGGCCAATACATGGTTATCCACAGCGGCGCATGACCGCCCGGCGGGGAAGAGAGGGCAAGTTGAGGGGACGGATAAATATAGGAGGAGAGTAACTGGAAAACTTGAGCTGTTAGCATGCTATTGGACAGAGCAACACTGTCGCTTGCACAGCGAACGTTTTTATACATTTCCGGGACTCCGACTCCACAGGTTAGAGCAGGGCTATGAAACAAGCTCAATGCTTATTATGACAAGGCACGTCGTTATGAATGGTCGAAAGCAAAAATTAAAAAAAACATTATAAAGCAAACGAAACTGATACCACAGGTTTATTAATTCCCTTTGTATTTCCTTATGAAATAGAATAAAGTCTAATCGAAATTGTTCAGCAATATCGGCCTAAGACTCACCGGTGTGGAACGAGACTAAGAGAGAGAGAGAGGGAGAGAGAGAGAGAGAGAGAGAGAGAGAGAGAGAGAGAGAGAGAGAGAGAGGGGGGTGGAGGCAAAGGTAAATAGATGGATAGAGAGAGAGAGAGTAATTTAAAGGGACGAACAAACACAGGGGAACAGGGGAAGCTTCAAAATTAGAATCACTGCTGGGTGGAAAAGGAAAGCGACGTTATTTAATTGACTCGTCTCGTTCGGGTTGGAAATCACAATAATTCCTGAACTTTTTTAAATTGTCATTGTTCAATTTCTGGCACAGATAAACGACCTGTCTGAGATACGTAGGATGAAAATGAAAACAATACCTACCCTGTTCGTCATTGTGTTAGCCTTTTGCTTTATTCACCAAATAGTTTTTACTTTTTTCTCGTGTGTAAAGCCATAAGTGTATGCCAAGGCAAGTTGATGTGTCCTATATGAAAGAGAACTATCTATAGGTTTTGAAATAAATACTGGAGTTACACAAGGCTGCATGTCTTCACCTTCTCATGTAATGAGTAATGAGGCAGAGCAAATATATCTAAACAGGCATTACTGTTTATTGACAAATTGCACACGTTTGAAAGATTCAGATTTTGCTAATGGCATTTGTCATTTAAACGCCACAGTGTATGAAATGCAACAAAAATCACCCGTTGAATTGACAAGACCTGCAGGAAAAGTTTGCTTTATTATAACTTTTTTTCCAAAACAGAATAGCTGTGATTATCTCCAGAAACTTCCACATCATTCTTTATTGACAACCACTAGCAGAAAAGGTTTACACATTCTCGTGTTCCAACATCCAAACTAGTTAACAATCCTGCAGCGTGACAGAGAAATACATAAGAGAAAAAGAGTACATGCCTGACCCGGATCGAGTTTATGTCAGTAAGAAGAGTGACTGTAAAGTTGAGAAAAACGAGGCATGTGGACTGGGCCAGGAACGCTTAGACTGATCTCAAGGACTCTCTTTCTGTTTACAGAACGTCAGTTCACTTTTCTCTCCCTTTCTCGATGTCGGAATAGTAAATAAAAGTACACATTTCAATTCATGGTACGTCTTATTCTTTCGTACGGGAACAAATGTCTCATCGTTTCTTGTCAAGCAGACTGCAGCTTCCTGCTGTCAACGTACCTGAGGGTTGTTTACACGGACTGGGGGGTCTTCAGCTTGTTATGTCTTTTTTAAATGATGCTCAGATCATCATGCAGTTCCGTATTAACCATTAGGCAAATAAGGCAAATGCCTTGGGGGGGGGGCACTAAAAAAAATAGGCCACAAATAGGCCAGAGACAGGGTACAACAAGGCCACATTTTTTCGGGGGTTTTTTCCCCCGTTTTGATCAGGCCGCAGCAAGGCCAGTAAGGAAGGCCACAAACAGAATAGCCCTAAGCTAACCCAAGCCAGAGTCTGGGTTTTTAGTCCCAGGCCTAGTTCAGAAAGTGCTGTGACATTTTGTTTGGCTATATTTTTTTTCTAAAATTAAATTGAATCATTAGCTGTGGGTTCCAAATCAAGCACCTTTGGCCTCTAAAGCCACCAGATACCTGACAACCCAGATAGATAACAGTTCCAAAGTTATGGCCCTGCTGGAGTCAAAAGCCTGTAGACTCTACTCCAGATGTTACGCATTCTGATCAGTCAACCATTGTCTTACGCTATGTCAATATGGCAGATCACCAGCCCGAGAGCGCTTTTTGACATTCATCAACATCTCGAGCCACACAGGACAGAATCTTGCAGATACGTTGCTCCAATACCTAGAGGAGCAAGGCATCGACTTTGAGAATTGTCGTGGCCAGACATACGACAATGTCAGTAACATGTCTGGTAAATACACTGGAATGCAGAAAATTGTGAAAAATAAGAACAATCTTGTGGATTATATTCCGTGTGCAGGCCACTCTCTAAATTTAGTTGGTCAATCAGCTTTAGATTGCTGTGTGGAAGCTGTGTCTTTCTTTCAGTTCCTGCAGCGCTTGTAGTCATTAAAAAAAAAATTTTAATTTATTTTTTTGCATCAACACATTGTTGGAATATTTTATTACGACACTTTGAGGAAAATCCTGAATGTCTTGTCCCAAAACACCCATCGGATACCCAGTGGTCTGCCCGGGGTGATACGACAGAAGCAGTCTTCAGGGGCTACAAACAATTCCAAAGGGCTCTACAAGAGATTGCAGAAGATATTGACCAGAATGGTCTCACGAAGCACGAAGCTGGCACACTTGCAAGTTATATGGACACTATTGAAGTTGCTTTCATGTGTGAACTTTGGAATGACATTTTACATCTTTTCAATTGCTGCAGTAGACTGCTACAAAGTTCAACTATTAAACTAAACCCAGCCATTGGATTGTTAAAAAATTTTAACACATATATAGATGAGTGTCGAGGAAAGTTTGACTATTACATGTCAAGGCAAGTGACCGATGTGGAAGCAGCATATTATATAAATCAGACAGTCAAAGAGCACGTGTACACAGGAAAACAGTAGATGATGGAGATGCCACAAGTATGATGGATGAAATGTCGGGTCAGGAGAAATTCAAAGGGAATAGATTCTTGGTTATCATGGACCAACTGAAAAGTGCCCTATGTAGACGAATTGACGCCTATTCAACAGTAGTGCAGCGGTTTGGTGTTTTAACAGAGTATGATTCAATGCCAGCTGAAGACATCAATGCTGCAACATCAGCACTTGTTAATGTATATCCACATTACCTTTCTCCTAACTTTCCAATGGAATTTAAACTGTGCCTATGTTGGGTGAAAGAGCAAGTACATTCAGATAAAGCAACTGGAAGCGCTCAGAGCATTTTCAAACTCTTGCATACCACTGGTGTCCAGACAGCGAGATAGCATTGCAGATGTACCTGTCTCTACTGTCAACTAACTGCACTGGCGAATGTTCATTTTCGCAATCGAAACGCATTAAAGACGTTAAGCGTTCAACCATGTCTCAGCAGAGGCTAAGGATGCTAGCACTTCTTTCAACTGAAAGCGATTTACTGCACAACGTCGACATTAGCAAAGTCGTTGATGAATTCGCTGTTGCAAAAACACGCAAAGTGGCTATCTACTAAGAAAAAAATAATGCATAATTTTATTGTTGTGAGATCTTAGTTACATTATCTTACTGGTAAGCTGTCCATATTCCATACTGTCATACTTTGGACTGGCTGACAGACAGACACGCGCACAGACAGACTGTGCATGTATGTGATGTGTGTGAAGTTTTGAATTTGCACGCGCGCGCGCTAAAGGGATTTTTTTCTTTGAGGGGGGGGGGGGAGAGATTTTGCACCATCTTTGACTTTTTCAGGCCACTCAGTGAAGTGTGCCTTGGGGCCAGCTGGGCCTTAATCCGGCACTGTCATCATGCCAAGACAAACTAGCACGTTTTCATTTTAAAGATGTTAAGGTGTCTCACATACCTTCATACTGAGAGGCTTTTCTGTCTATATTGGAGAAGACATACGATTGGCTTCCGTGGTGTAACGGTTGCGCACTTCCCCTTCATACGCAGAAAACAAAAGGTCGATTCTCGTAAAGAGATAGTTTTTTATCGAGTATCTCGAAGTAAATGTAACCACTACGAAACCACGTAAACTGGAGGGGGAAATTGTAGGAGACACAGTGGGCCTTCGGGGCAAGCAGATACATGCAAAGAATGTGAGTATTCTAAATAAAATAAATTAATAAAAAGAAACAAAATTGAGCTCCTTCGGAATTTTTTATACTAAGAGGTGCCTTACACAAACGCACAAACATTAATTCTTGCATTCCGCCACCCCAATTAACACAACTTTAATCATTGAGGGGTCGGGCATTTTCGATCGTACTCATCGGAAAAGCGGACATTTTCGACAGTACTAGTCAGGAAAACAGGCATTTTCGACTGTAACCGTCAACGCCAATGGTTAGCTGAATGGGACATAGCATCCCAGCAGACAGACGAAATGCTTTATAATACAAACTTTTCACCATGGCGAAGAGCCTATTTATTACGTCACAGACGCAGATGAAACTTTCAGTATTTCTAAAAAAAAAAAAAACATTTTGCCAGACTGCTATGCAAAGCGTACGGATCGGATTAACGAGTAAATGTCCCGTCTGGAAAGTGGCAGCACAGAGTCCCCCACGTCGTATGGATACGACAGTAAAGAACGACGTACGGATAGGGTTAGGCTCTAAACACGTTTAAGCTAACCTGTTCTGACGTGCATACAAGCTCAGGAAGTTAGCATCTGCGTGCTGCTTATTGGTCAATGTGAGCCAGTTATGCAGTACTCACGTGCTGGTGAAAAATTCCCTCACGTCGACGAGTAATACTTACTTTAACCTTTTCATCCTCTGTAACTGTAAAGCGTCCGGGGGGGGGGGGGGGGGGGGGGGGGGGTGCAGTTTTCTATTGTAGGCCAGTTCAGCAGCTCTTTCAAATGGGATATTATGATTTCCCAGGGTTTTCTTGACACCCTCAATCTGCCTTTTGCGTGGCATTCCTCTTTCTTTATAACCTGAGTGCTTGATGGTATAGGCTCTCGAGGCTGACTAGCTAGGTGACATTCGTAACAGGTGGCGAAACCTTTTAATTTTATTCTCTTGTCTTTCTATGAAACGCAGGCAGGACTCCGTGCCAATAGTTGCTCTTACTTTTTCAATTTCGACAAGTAATAAGAGATAAGAAATATTGTCCATTGTTTGTCTTCAGGGCGTGGAAAAAATGAGTCTAAATTTGAGTATGAGAAAGAATCCCATATTGTGGCTTCGAAAAAAAAAAGAAAAAAAAAACCCACGTTTGTTGTGATCTGCACCTATGCTCACATGGTTATTATCCGCGACGACAGTGTTAGATCTACACATTGTTTCATAACGTTGAATTTACGCAAGGGGTGGGGGCGGGGGAGGGGGACAAGGTGAACGGGTACATTAAAGTTTGTTACCATCAATGGGGCAATCTGGATTACCTGAAATGATATTCGTTTCTTTGACGTCATAACGCAGGCAAAAGTCGTTGGAATGAGGAATTCAGCTTGGGTAGTCGAGTATTTGTAGATGCTCGTCAAACAAGGAGAAATCTTTGCTCGCGTGCGAATTCGATACTTCTTCAAAGTCACGATACGGTCACAGGCGGATATACGGCAAACAAAGAGCAGAGAATGTTTCCTGTCTGCTCAAAGGCAAAAGGGTCTCTCTCTCTCTTTCTCTCTCTCTCTCTCTCTCTCTCTCTCTCTCTCTCTCTCTCTCTCTCTCTCTCTCTCTGTGTGTGTGTGTGTGTGTATGTCTCTCTGTCTCTCTGTCTCAATCTTTCTGGTTTTCCCCTAATTTCGAAAT